GTGCAGGACTGAAAAGGCAAGTGCCGCTTCGCGAGCGTGCGTTCCTCAGCTCGTACATCAATGCACAGTTGTGAAGAGCTTTTTTAATTTGAAAAAGCTTATCACGTTCTCACCAGAAAGAAAATGAAGACAGTCAGACTTAATTTTCGTGGAAGCAGTTATCAGCGTGCTCAAGCTTTGCCTTCTCCCCTCTACTCTTGGAGATTTACAGCAGGCTTGTCTCCTAGCCCAGGCGCTGACACTCGGGCTGTGCTTTCGGCCCCTCCGGAGTGAGGATTTGCTGCAGTGCTAACTTTGCATTTCAGAGACTGATAAGTTTGTTTAAGCAGTGACGTTTGGCATAACACTCATTCCTGAGCGAGGGTACTTCTGACAAATCCACTTCAGACCTGACAAAGTTCAGCAGTGGTTTTTCCCCTGCTGATTTTTAAAGGCTTATTGCTAATTGCTAGTGTTAAGGTGGCTCTCATTGGGGGAAAAAACACGCAGGAACCTTCTGCGTTACTGCCAGCCCCAGCCCAGCTGATCAGACTGGTAAGATGGGGATTGTAGGAGGGATTATATTGACTGCAGTACTCCTTGGTTTTTAATGCCAGTTTTTGTAGGTACCATCCTGTGTTCAGCACTACCTATTGCAAGAATTTTTCTTCTTTTTCTTTCTTCTTCTTCAGTGTGGGCTGTATTTCCCTTTCAAACTGTGCTGTACTTCTTTAAGAGCAGGAAATGATCTTAATTTTTTATTTGTCATCAAAAAAAATCCCCTTGCTTTTATGAGGAAGTTGATCTAAGTGCAAGATCTTAGATGGAGCTGAGCAGTGACAGACACATACTGACCACACTGAAGTTGTTCTGTACCCAAGGGTGGTACACAGTGCTACCCAACTGCAAGCATTATGTATTTCCCTTCTCCTCCAGCCTTATTTAGCAGGCTGGAAGCTGGAAATTGTGCCTTAGTCTTTATTCCTCCATTGATTTAAAGTTCTGAATATTTTTTTTCCCCTTTACTTGCAGCTGGGGTGTAATGCTGAACTGTCCCAGGGTCTCTGTGTTTTTTCCTGTAGGTGTTTGAGAATCATCTTGTTGGATGCACTGTGATTGTGCTGTGGAGACTCTAATCCTGACCTGGACACTCACCAATGGCTGAGAGCTGGAAGGGTTAACCTAATAGTTGACTACAGAGTAGAGAGAAATACTTTTTCAAACATTATACTAAAATGTTTTTATTATCTATGAAAAATAGGCAATATATCCATATATAGACTAGTGGGATGATTTTGCTCTTGTTCAGGTTCCAGCTGTGGTAAGCCCCTGATATTGCTGACATTTTTGTAACGTGGCTCTGGATTTATTCCAAGATCACTGTTGGAAGAGGCTGAACTCTGATCCCATTGTACTTATTTTGCAGACAGCAACCTATTCCCCTTGCCAAAACAAAGATGTGTGTGCTGGAGTTCCTTGGAAAATTACTTCCTTTTCCTGCTTTTTTTTACACACTAAAGTACAAATTGCCCAAATTGTTGGTGAAGAGGAAGGTAATCTGTGATTAGAGACAGAACCATACCCTTGTGGAAATGAAAAATGGTATCATGTCCTGGAAATGAAAGGTCTAGTAGCATTAGGTGAATTCCTCTTCAGATCTCCTCTTCTAGCAAGTATTGTGTTAGTCCTTTATATTTCTATGAGGAAAAGTCCCAAAGCTGGTGTATTTGTACGAAGGGCTGTGCTGAGTGTAGTATTGTGAAGGTGGAGAGGTTGTTTTCAATCTGTTTAATCATTACAATATTCTTCACTGAATAATTATACAGAAGGTAGGTATTTGGGGCAACAATTTTGTGCAACTTCAAATAAAAATAAACTTTTCTTCCCCCCCCCCCCCCCCCCCGCGACCTTTCTCTATTTGATTTCTTATGGAATCAAATCTAAAGGGATTGTTGGGGATGGGGTGAAGGATGAAAGCCTGGAGTTCCCTCTGGTGGCTGAGTGCTGCTGGAAAACATAATAATAGCTTTTTAAAGGAGTGATACTGTGGATACATCAATCTAAAGACAAGCAGAATGAAAACACTGTAAAATATTAATCTCAAATAGACTTCTGTCTTGCTTCAAGACACTCTTCACAGCTTTTGGAGTATCACTGCCATGTCACTGTAAAATTAAATGCTGCTTGTTTCAGATTGACTTTTTGCTTAGGAAAGTGTTGTGCAGCAGGAGGCATCTTTATAATGAAAGGATACTGTGTTAGAATGAGGAACTGGCTTTCTTCAAAACAGATTGAATTATTAAATGTTCATATTTAAATAAGTTGGCAGTGGTAATTACTGTTTTTGAGGAGAAAATGCTCAAAGTATTCCATTCATGGCACCAAATGGATGCGTGTATGAAAATAGGGAAATGGAATCACCTCTATTTTTATTTTTTTTTAAACCACCCCAGTTTTAGAAGTTACTTAATAGCTTTCATTATTAAAGATTTTGCCTCCACAGAGAATTATTGAAGATTGTTTTGCAATAAATGTGTAGCAAGCTTCATAGGTGTGGTTCTGAGTAGAAACGTCCACCGTATGCGTATCTCTCCACACGTTGTCTTCAACGTTTTCCCCGTGGTAAATGGAAGCTTTTATTTGACTCGTGAGGCATCATTAAAACAGTATGAAGATTTGCTCCCTTCTTTATCTTACTAAAAACTGAGGTTGCACATTCTTTCAGAAATAGAAAACATTCTGCAAATGGTTTAGGGGAAAATAACGTTTTGAGTTGTGCCCTGAACCCATAAGGTGGACTTTGCAAAAGGCTGTACATAAATTTCTGGAGATACATTTGGGTGTGTGTGTGTGTATATACACAAATCTTTGGTAACATGCTAATATTTACACTGCCACAACTGTCTTGGTAAACAACAAGATAGTGTTTGGCTGGGCTAGAAGGTTGCCAAATCCACCACTTGAAGCTGTCTGGCATGAGGATAATAGACTGTTTGCAAAAGTCAGTCCAGCTTGTTTACTGGGTCTGAACTGGAGTTTTTGCCTTCTGTAGTGACCTTCTCTGATTGCTTCCAAATTCAGAGGGGTTGTTTCTCCCTCCCCAAGTACTTGGTGTATTCAGTATCATTCCAAAGTTTATATCTAGTGCTTTAAGTCTGTCTTATTTTACTTTGAAGCCTAAGTCTGAAATTTTCTTAACACTAATCATGGGGAATTTATGATATGAGATGTGTTGTCAGTGTAAAAAGCTGATTTGTAATAGGTGCCTCTCAGTTCTGGGTTGTTTTTTTTTTCCTAGGATACTGTGGGTAATATGAAAAAATAATGAGTGGGATCATCCACACATTGCTCTGTGTAGTTCAAAGATAAAAACCCTATATGAACTGATTGGAATGAGATTTTGAGTGTATTTTCACTGAAACTGGTAAACTTAATCTCAGCTCTCCCGTGCCTTCCCCTGAATTGGATCTCTCCTGATTTTTTTCAGTCATTTCAAAACCACTATTCCCTTTGGCTCTGAAGCTCTTGATCTAGGGAAGCCATTAATTTTCAAGAAATCTTTTGGGAAACTGTCTTGACTGTGGTGCTGAATGTTCCCAGAAATTGTTGACATGTTCTGTACTTCTTCTGAGCTTTTTCTTTCATTCAGTCCTTTTAAAACTTAGTCCCATTTTAGATGGAGACACTTGTAAAAAGATTCTGTTGTGAAACGTGCCCCCCACCCCCCATCAATAGCAAAGTGAATAATTATGAAACACTTGATTTTAAATTTCTGCTTGTGGGAATTTGTATATTTTGTTTGGTTTCAGAGCAGGAAAAAGTTGATAGGATGGTTCCCATCAATGAAAAAAAACCCCATCTGCTCAGGTTGTGTGTGGGTTTTACTCTGTAACTTTCTTTTAAGCATTTAAGCTGTCTGTGTCCACGGTAATTTTCTGTCCTCCTAAATGCTACATTGGCTCAGTTTTGTTTTTTCTAGACTAGTTTTAGTGCAGGATCTCTCTTCTCAATTAGTAAATTCTAGTGAAGTACTGAAACCATAAAAGAGCTGTTTAGTTAGACTTTGAACTGGTCCCTGATATTTGACTTGAGTGTCAGGTTTTTGTAGTCTCAGCCTTAATTGGCCCTTTGCTTGAAGTCACAGTCACATTTTGTCTCGAGCAGAGAACACTTAGCAGGGGTTTTAAGCCTTAGACTTCTTTTTATTTTTTAGCTTTAGATTTCTTTTTCATTTTTTTGTCTCCCCCCACACCCCATCTTCCTCTTTTTGGGAGCAGTGCAGACCCAGTATAAGTCTTTCAAGTCCAACGTGGTACCTTGCTTTTTGGAATGGGGGAGGATGTGCTGGCAGGCTTCAGAGGTAACCTTTTGTTAGTTAAAAGTCCATAAAAAATGTAACTTCAAGAAGCTGTCTTGATCTGGACATGTATTGATCTTTGAATTAAAAAACTTCACCTCTGTACTTAAGTAAATTACAATTTAGGGTTAATTTGAGGCATATTTTTAAATTGTTCTAGAGTAAATAGGAGTAGCTGTGGATGTCAGCACAGCAGTTTCATCCAGCAGTTTTGTCTGTCCAGAGAAAGACACCTGGGGCTTTAAGTTCATGCCCTTGTAGGTCTTTATATTCTTGCATTGTTCACTTGTAGATCTAGTGACATCTTCATGTTTGAAACATGACTTTGAAACATCTGTTTGAAACAAGATTGTACATTCATGATGTAGAATATGGGGGGGGGAAGAAGTATTCCTGTATTTTATTTAATACACTAAATAGTCTTTTATCAATAAGTATATTTCACTTAATTGTGTGTCGCATAGAAATTGGAGGTGAATTGTCCAGCCAGGACATTGCTGATGCCAGCCAGGACATTGCTATTCTGAGCGAGCTGGCTGCTTTTTGAGTGGATAGAAACTGCTAATGAAATCTTTTACAGGTTGAACAACTTCCTTTCTCATATCTTACTGCCTTCACTTGTCCTTTATTATATAATGATTTGTTCTAAATCTTTGTTTTACAGATTGAGGAAAGGCCAGAAAAAGACTTTGAGAAGGTAAGGAGGATATTCTGAATTATTCTGCCCATAGCACTTTCTTCATGTTCCTTTTGGAAGGTAGAACTCGCAGTGAGTGTACAGAAATCTTCTGGAAAATCTGCTGTGGGGCAAAACTTTGAATTATTGGAACCTTCTACTACTATGTGGTTTGGTTTTTTTTTAAAGATAAACTTTTAAACCTCTGTGGTTATTCAGAGGTTAAGTAGTTGACCTTCAATAGCAGTTTGCTGAAATGGCTTTAGGCTAAGCCATGTGAATACTGGTTTTGTTTATTAGGTTTTAATTATGGTATTATCTATAAATAAATAAATAAGAGGCGGATACTGCAGTAGTGAGAACCTGGCTCAAGGCAGAACCCTCAGTACACTAAAGCAGTTCATGTGGCTACTGGTGCAGAAGAGATAATTATCCATGAAAGGAGAGGAGCTTGAGGGGTGGTCAAAAGCATCCACAAAATGTATTATCACAAGTTTTGAAAATACCTGGCAAGATGATACTAGTCCCTAAAGACTTTATTTAATTTAGAATTAATAATTAGAAGCTAAGTCATGCAAAATCCTGTTTCAGTAATGTTTAAATACATCTGATCAGCCTTTTCTTGTTAGTTTCCCTTGTTAAATCTTGATCTTTTGATTTTTCTTCTTAGAAAGTTACATTTGAATCAAATATGCATAATTTAGAAGTGCAAGGGTTGGTGTAATGTGTATATTAAAAAAAAAAAACAAAACCAAAACCCAACAGAAAACCCCCACACCCCCCAAAAAATTCAAACTACAAACCCACAATGTATCTAGAAAAAAAAATGGTAATCATTTTTAACTGTATGTGATTGTAGGGAGCACGTACTGTTTCCAGTTTATCAGCAGCTACCTTAGCTTCTCTGGGTGGGACTTCTTCACGAAGAGGCAGTGGGGATACATCAATCTCAGCTGATACAGAGGCATCTATTAGAGAAATTAAGGTAAGAAATACTTAAAATCAGCATAAATTGTTAGGAATCTGTCTCTGAAGTATGTCTGTTTGGATCAGAATGTTTTTATGCCTTGCATTTGGTAAATTAATGAACTATAAGATTAATTGAAAGTAGTGCTGATGTTGCCATGACTGACTGGAAGGCAGTAAGAATTGGGACTGACAGGCTAAATGGACTGTCCCCTGTGTTGTTATTAAATAGACAAATATTAGCTAAAGGATATTATTAAATATGCTTTAGATTTCTTTAAAAAAAATAAATAACTGGTCTTGTCTCCCCCTTTTGACAGTTCTGACAAAATGAATTGTGTGCTGCTGTACCTGAAAAGTGCATAGCTTTATTAGAGAGAGAAAGGTAGTGTGCATTGCAGGAATATTTGGGTAAAGTCCTCTGGTGTACAAGAGCAGATCAGCCTGATCCTAATAGACACATCTCATCCTAACCAAATGAAATAGAAAATGAAGGCAATATAGCACACTGATAGGAGGGTTGAAATAGTGCAAGGAGCACTGCACTCACTGGATGCTAATTTGGGGAGGGGGCTGTATTTTGTAATCTAATTTGTGATTCCATGAAGTTAGAGACATTTGACTAGCAGAAATCTATGCAGTCCCGTGTTCATATCACTGAGTGCTGGTCTGGATAGTCCAAAGCTAAATTGTTTTGTGTAATCTGGTTTTTAATCACAGAATCACAGAATGTTGGGGATTGGAAGGGACCTCAAAAGATCATCCAGTCCAACCCCCCTGCCAGAGCAGGAACCTAAATGAGATCACACAGGAAGGCGTCCAGGCGGGTCTTGAATGTCTCCAGAGAAGGAGACTCCACACCTCCCTGGGCAGCCTGTCCCAGGGCTCTGTCACCCTCACTGTAAAGAAGTTCCTCCATTCTGAAGACTGTTCTAAACTGGGGGATCTGAATTCTGTTAACTTTAATGTGTACAACTTAGAACCCTGCTGAAATAACAGTTCAAACATCTGGAATTTGGTTTAGGTACAAGCAGGGCTGTCCCAATTTCAGCACTGTAAAATAGCCCAAAGAGTGTCATTTGCTGGTGACCAAGGACAAAAGAGGAGAGAGCTTGTGAAATAGGACTTAAAATTAAATGCAGCGTGATGGGTGGTTTCCATACAGTCTTTCCTACATCTCTAGTGTAACCTGTATTTCAGGCTTGCTTTGGCAGCCCTTACCCTTAATAGCAGAATTCCTCCAAGAAGGTGATAATCAGTGGAAGAGAGAGAAGGGCTGTCTGGCTGAGGGGTAGAACTGCTGGAAGCTTTGAAGCTGGATCTGTCTCTTGTCCTTAACATTGAAGATTTCTTTTTTTTTTTTTTTATGGTCAAGAAGAGCAGAATTAGCATAAACCTCTAACCAAGAAATTTCATTGTCTGACAAGGCTTCAGGTTGGGATCAGCCTGCTTAACCTGTGTGGTAGAGATCTTTAAATGAGAACTCTGGATACCTGCTTTTCCCCATCAGCTGCTCTTCTGCCCGTTAGTTTCAGTGGCATCATTCACCTTTCTCACCGTTTCTCTCAGGATATCTATGAGTTAAAGGACCAGATTCAGGATGTAGAAGGCAAATACATGCAGGGACTGAAAGAACTGAAGGTACTGGTTTTCTGCAGAGTGGAAGTGTGATCATTAACACCAGCTAAACGTTCAGAGAGTCAGTGTGAGACCCAGAACTGACCTTGCATGCTTGCTTCTGTGTGAAAAGCATTTAATTAACTGCAAAAGTATCAGTTCTGATCTCGATTGACTGTGGTGAGAAATGCTTCCAGATGTTAACTGAAAGGCTGCTGATTACTATTGCATGTTGTGTTTTGAGAAGGTAATCATTTTGCTAGCAAAGCAAAATTATTAGGGTTTTGGTTTTTTTTAATAGTTTCCTAATCTAGGAGGCATCTCATTATTAGAAGATGAACTAAAACTCATGTCCTACAGTGCTGTGAAAAATCAGAGTTTAAAAGCTTGTATGTGTTTTGTTTGGATAAGGTCCAGCATGCTTCTGGAAGGTTGTGCATATGAGGTGGTATCTACCATATTTAGATCACAGAAGACACCCTTAAACATTTTTTTGCAATAAAGCTTCATGTAACAGAGCTCATTACGTGAAGAATAAATGCTGACACCAGTGGGCACAGAGGAAGCACTTACTACTTTCATGAAGCCATAAAGGAATTTTGGTGCAACAACCAACTTGTGCAGCCATGTACCACCACCTCATAGTGAGCAGCAACGTGAGCTGCATTGTTTTGGAAAAGGCAGTCCTGCAAATATGTACGTAGACATCCAGGCATATGATGCAACATTTCTCAGCACCCATTGCTGCCTGGTCACCAGCTCAACACTGTGACAGGTGAAGGTGCTGCCACCTTGAGTTAGTTCTCAATGGAAAAATAGTTTAGTCCTTTTTCTGGAAAGCCTAACTGATTTGTTGGTTTTTTTTCTCTGATCACTGTGTAGTAGGTGTAGCAAAATAATCACACTGCATAAAAAATGTAGGTCATTTTTCAATTCGTGTCCCTTCGACTGCCTTTTGTGGTGATTTGTGCCTAAGCCACACTGCTTGATGTTAAGAAAACAAGCACAGCATGCTGAAGGAGTGATGCAGCAACTACCTTCACTTCTTACTTGCATATACTTCCTTTCCAGCTAATTTCTGGAGTTTAATCCTCCCAGTTGCCAAATCCTGACTGCTTTCCTTTGCTTGGTATTTCTCATCCTCGGATTGGAAAGCGCACCAAAACACAGTTTGTATTTGGAACTGTACAAATTCATGTCCTTAATGACAAATTCTCTTATTTGTCAATAGAAATGTAAATAAAGCTAATTCAAATTTAATTTTGTCGCCATCTCACCGCTATCATCCCCAGTTCTGTTGACTGAATGACAAGGGAAGTATATGAAACTATTAGAATTACTTAAGTTCCTAGAGAAGCTGCTTGATCTGTAAAGTACAGTGTTGACTTGAGTGTCCTCCTTGGTTGCCTATTTGCACTGTTTTGTTTGTGTAACTCTTTTTTTATTTCTATATTAAAATCAAATACTGTGAAGTTTGACTGTGCAACATGGAAAACGATCCTGATCTTTATTTTGCCATCATCTGTTGTTATAAATACCTCAGTATCTTATATTCGAGCTGATAGGAGAGGTTTTGGAGACCCTGGGAATTGTGTCTTAGAGAGTAAATTTGTAAAGGGATGTTATAGAGGAAGCCAAATGAAAAATGATACATCAGGTCACAAAAGCTGTAGCTTTTTCATGGCAAATTCTAATTCCTTAGTCAGTATTTCAGTGGTTCCCACACTGCAAAGATCTCTGAAATTCTTGTGATGTGGCTGTCAAACTGTCCTAATTTAAGGCCTGAGATCGTCTAAAATGATCTTAAATTAAGGCCAGTTTACCTTTAAAAAAAAAAAAATCCAACTTGTCATCCTCAGCAGCTGCTTTGAGCTGCCAGTGTGCAGGGCAGGGGGAGGAGGGAGAAGGAAAAAAACTCTGAGACGGCAGAAGCTGAAGCAGCAGAGAACAGGAAACACTTTATCCATCCTGAGGTAAGGTTCCTTGCTTGTAAACAGATGTCTGGTGGGGACACAGGGGAGGTTCTCCTCACCTTGGGACAGTTGGTAAGCCTCTCTAGCACATGATTAGCACTGGTTTCTGTAGAAGTACTCAGCATGCTTGTGGTTTAATACTTAATTTTCTTCTTGAAAGTCTTGCTTGGCAAAGTGTCCTTTATAACTGACTCTGACTGTGGTTGCCTGTTATTTGCAGGACTCTCTAGCCGAAGTTGAAGAGAAATATAAAAAGGCTATGGTGTCAAATGCTCAACTAGACAATGAAAAAACAAATTTCATGTACCAAGTAGATACCCTGAAGGATGCACTCTTAGAGTTAGAAGAACAGTTGGCAGAATCCAGGCGGCAATATGAAGAAAAAAGTAAAGTATGTATATAACTGTGGCATGTTGTTTAACAGGGAAAGGGTTTTTGAGGGCTGGAGACCTTTGGGAGGAGGCAACCACATTACTAATCAAGATTTTAGATAAGTTATTGTTTTAGTTATTGTTAAAGCACGTGGAATAGCAGCATATTATGTGGTTGCGATCATAGAAATGGGAATCTGCCCAAAGTTTCTGTCTTACAAAGCAATTTCTGAAGAAGTGTAGAAACACTTCCTCCCTGGAAGTGTTCTCGGCCAGGTTGGATGAGGCTTTGAGCAACCTGGCCTAGTGGAAGGTGTCCCTGCTGGTGGCAGGGGGGTTGGGACTGGATGAGCTTTAAGGTCCCTTCCAACCCAAACCAGTCTGGAATTCTATGTTTTATATGGTAATACTATATTGATATTATTCCATGTCCTTTTATATTCCATCTTTAAAATAAATTCAGAGCAGTTTTTTTGCAGTGACTTCTGGAGTATTTTTCCACACAAAGCTCTCTCAGAAGGCCCGTGGGAGAGTTGTGCAGTTTATATAGTTAAGGCAGCTACTTGGTTAAGGGTTGAATTCAGTTTTACATGAATTCATCATCTGAGAGCTAGTGAGTTGGTGTTAAATAATAAAGCTGTGGCTTGTGTTAGCCCTTCAGAACTGGCTCTTTAGCTCGGAGCATTTCACTGTAGTGTACTTCAGAACACATAGTTCCTGGAAGATCCAGTGTGGTTTTGGTCTGGTTTGGTTTTTTTTTTTAAGTTCACAATGTCTAGCTAACTTTTAGTACACAGCTCTGTGGAAGGAGTGGGTTAAATTTCCAGCCATTCATCTGTGAAACCTGTAGGACTCGAGTGTAAAAGCTGTCACTGCCAGCCTGCTGCTCGACTTGGGAAACTGGCTAAATCATGTTTGTCACTTCTGTATTTGATGGGATAATAATTTCTTGGAAAAAGGACAAATAAGATAAAAATTGTACTCTTTGGGGATTGTGATTAGAGGAATATTCAAAAATTGCACTGCAGTAAGCATTTTTGTTGTGGTTGGGCTTATTTTTTCCTTTTTTTAATGGGATGCTATTTTTGATCAATAAAAATCTCATTAATATTTCATTATTCGTAGGAATTTGAGAGGGAGAAGCATGCCCATAGCATATTGCAGTTTCAGTTTATGGAAATGAAAGAGGCTTTGAAGCAACGAGAAGAAATGCTTGCAGTAAGTACCTTTTTTTTAATGGCTTCTTTGATTGGTATGTTCCCAGTTAGCAGTAGGAGTGTAGAAGGTGAGGCATGGAGAATTTTATTGCCTACTCAAGTTTCTCACCTGAAGAAATACTAGTGTTTCAGGCCAAACAGGTTCAGAACTGACTAACAGAAATAGTATTTTCATAAATATTATCTGAAGCTGGACTTCTTTTCTGCCTTCCCCTCCCTGGAAGTGTTGAAGGCCAGGTTGGATGAGGTTTTGAGCAACCTGGTCTAGTGGAAGGTGTCCCTGCTGTTGGCAGGGGGGTTGGAACTGGGTGAGCTTTAAGGTCCCTTCCAACCCAAACCAGTCTGGGATTCTATATTAAATAAGCTGTGTTTTGGAGGGCTGTTTCTGAAGGTGCAGAGGAAACCAATGGAACTGTCCAGCTTTGTTGCAAGTCATCTCATGGATAGCAAGATTGTCTTCAGGAGTGTAGGTCTAGTTGAGATATCACAAACTGGAACTGTGCATGTAGATATTCTTTTACGTTAGCACCTTTTTTCATTCTTTGGCATCACTGCAATCTTGACCTTCTTTGTTAACCTGTTCCCTACTTTCTGTCTTCTTGTTTTGCTCCTGTCTCTCAGGAAATCCAACAGCTGCAACAGAAACAGCAGAGCTATGTCAGGGAAATTTCTGATCTTCAGGAGACAATAGAGTGGAAAGACAAAAAAATAGGGGTAGGACTGTCAGCTCCCCGAATGTGTTCAGAGTGGCCCTGTCGTTCTCCAGCTGATCCTGCTTTTGCAAAACCTCACGAATTAAATCCTCCCTAGTGACTTTGCTTGGTGTGGCTGTCTTACTGTATTACCAGTGAACTAGCAAACAGCAGATATTGTCTTTGGCTGGTATCATAAAATCCAAGAAAAACTTAGCAGCTGGTCTGACTTCAGAACCTAGGGGAATTTATTTGCTGTGGTGCACCATTTGTATTTGCTATCTTGAGAAAGGAAGTGCTATTTATAATGCAATTCCATCAGCACTGAGTTTTTGCTTATTCAGATTTAATCTGCGGACTGAGCAGAAACTGGAGTGTGATACAGAAGCAATAGAGCTATTTATGGGCTATTGGGATGGAAGTCTCTAACTCTGTCTTGCTTCTAATCCCTTTCCACCACCCTCTATCAAAGACAGATGGAAACTTGCTCTTAAATAAAAGCATGGCTTTCTTTTTTAATTATGAGCACTGAAACATTCCTTTCTGAATATAGAAGGAGAAAGAAATCTGGCTGCTTGCCCATGCTTGTGATATCCAATAACTTGCAGCAATTTGAAACTCAAGATTTTCTGATTTTGGTTACTGTTCTATTTGTCTAATTACATAGAAATATTGAGGGGGCTGAGTAGCAAAATATGCATTTGCACATGGTACATCCCAGTCTAATGATGACAGCTTTCAAATTAAGTGAAAGGTACGGCATGGCAATAACCTGTGGAATATAAAGACTATTAAAATCTGCTGGGCCTGCTCTCATGCCATTCTGTTAACACATGGGAATTGCACTCTGCCTTCAGTGTGCATGTTGAAATAACATCGATATGAATGAATTTGTCTAGCAGGTAAGAATGAGAAGTGGATCCTTGTTTGAAGGATCCCTAGTGAAGGGCTGGGCTCTGAATGTCTTTAGCAGGAATTGCTGGTTATTGAATAAGCTGTGCATTTCTTGGATTTGAAGTTTACCTGTGTGTATGTAAACTCGGTCCTTTAATCTGTAAACTTTACCTTTTTCCTAACATGCCACTTCCATGAATCTTTGAATATCTTAAATCTGCTCATTCTTGTTTACACTGGCTTTTCATGGTCTTTACTTGTCTCCTTTCCTTTCTTCACATCTCCTCGCCCTCTGTCTGTGTCGGGAACTCAGGCATTAGAGAGGCAGAAAGATTTCTTTGATTCCCTAAGGAGTGAGCGGGATGACCTTAGAGATGAAGTGGTTGTGCTGAAGGAGCAACTGAAGGTATGCAAGAGGAATAAAAGAAACTTGTATTCAACTGCTGACCTTTTCCTCCTTTTGCAGAAAATGTGAATCTAGCTTAGTAGCAAGAACTCTTTTATTTTCATCTTGCCTGTAAATTGCCATTTCAGGGATTTTCTGGATAAAGTCCTTCCCTCTAATATTGACAGTGAGCTCTTAGTATAGACTGTAGGATTAAGTAATTGCTTTTGTAGGAGATGCTTCTCTGAGGAACATTTAATGCAGCAGATTTATGTTTTGTTTTGTGTTTTTTAAAAAAAGCTGTGGTAATATCCTTTCTATCATAATGGCTAACCTGAGAACTGTAATATTCTGTGCTCTTTTCTGACTTCCAGCCATGTTTAACGGAACAACTGAAACAACTGTTTGTTCAGAATGTCAAGGACAAGAACACCTGAACTGCCTTCCCTTTTCTGAGCAGCAAGCTATTAAACATTTCTTCTGCTTCTCCACAGAAACATGGAATAATCCCAGACTCTGACATAGCCACCAACGGGGAGACATCAGACATTCTTGATAACGAAGGGCACTTGGATTCTTCCAAAACTGTTCCAGGCACAACTCAGGCGTTAAAGACAGGAGGGGATGGGATGCTAGGTAAGTGCTGTATATCCTTGCACATCTGTCTGTCTGTCTGTCCATTCATTCATCTTTGCTTGGAGTTTGGGCCTTTTGTTAGTGAGTCAATTAACACATCACGCAGCATGCTACTTGTCAGATCACTTCCTATGCATTTTTCTGCTTACCATTTATTATCACTTCAAGTATGTTGTGCAGTTTCCTGCAAAGGCAAGCTTCATTTCCCATTCAAGGTGACAAAGGACGAGAACACAAGTATTACATTACAGATAAGTAGCAAACATTCAGATTACTACTTAAACCCTGCATCTGAAAATTGTCCCAGAATACTCTTACTGTTTTTCAATATTTTTCAGCATGTATCTTAAAGAATTGGGAAAAAAAAGCATTTGTGTGTCCTATGAACAACTTTTATGTTGGTTCATTTATACACCTGAGAACTGTAAGCGTCTGCTGAACAGTGCTGGGCACTGTGAACACACACAAATGTATGGATCTGTTGTTCTTGGTATCTAACACTGTTGACCAGTTTATATTAACACTTCAACATTTTTACTTGCTTACAACAGGATTAACACTGTTAAATTGAAAGAGGAAAACTCAGATGGATAGCTTTAGGAAGGAGAAATCTGGTTGGCAAAAACTTTCTTCTTACACAGTTGTGATGAGTGGCCTTTCAGACAACTATTATACTAGTGGAAGGAAAGGAAATAATAAGGCTTTTTGTTGTTTTGTTCTAAATGAACATACTAATAAATAGCAACAGGCAGCCAACCATTGCAAGTGCAAACTATCTTGCTTTTAGCTGTTGGCTGCTTTTTCCTCACTCAGTTTTTGTGTGGAAACAATATGGAACACCAAAACCAAGGTAAGGGTGTATTTTTAAATGTAACATGTTTTCTGTTTCTCCTTATTCTGTTTTGGTTTTTTTTTTTTGGAAATAGGTACAACATAGACCCAAAAGCTAAGTGCTGAAACCACAAACACTGTTGTTCTAATACCTATTGCTTCTAAATATAAGTTGAAGGAAAAACTGCTACAGAAACCCCCCCAAAACCAGAGAAGTCCCCATCCCTTTGGGTGGATGAAATGGCTGCAAGGGGCACTGAATCCCTGAGCTTTGGTCTGTGTTGGTGACGTTAAACAGCTGAACCATTCGCTTGCCAATCAGATTTTACATTCAGTGTTTGTCACATCCACTGATGATGCCTGTTTATCATACCCAGGAGTAAAATATTACTGAATAATCCTCGATTGCTTCCTTCTAATGGCATCAGACACACACTCTTGCATGCATGGAGTGGTGTTAGGCTTAAAGTTGTAGAGGATATTGCTGAGAAAAAATCATCTTTACTGTTAGCGTTACATCTGCAAGTGTTACTGTTAAATTGCAGTGCTTGAAACAGTTGTTCTCATCTACAAAAGCTGTAGTTCACACAGCCAAGAACATAAATATTTTACTTGACAAAAAAATCCCACAAGCCAGCACCAGAGACTTCTTGCTTTGAGAGGGTGGTGGTGAATTTCACTGATCAAAAACCCCAGACCCTTACTAATTCAACTGCTGCTTTGCCTCACGTAATTGGCAAAAGCTGATCTTCTATTAACCTGTTCTTTGATTCATTCTCTTTCGGGTTTTGAGTGGGGAGGTAAGTGCTGGGGTGTGGTCCCTTCAACTTTCTCAATGGTCTTTTAGGCAAAGCCAATGAAGTGGACATGAAAAATGAGATTTTGGAGGATGTGGGGAAAAGAGAAATCTTGCAGAATACTGAGCACAAGGAACACAAAGAGGAGTCTGAGGAGCAGGAAGTACAGACATTGCATGCTGATGAAAATGCAGAGGCAGAGAACATGGTTGAAGAACGTGATGTCCTGCCAACAGTGATGTTACCAGAGAGTAGGCTTACAGAACAAACTCAAAGCCTTACAGAACATGTGTCAGGGAGCACTTCTTCAAATGATGGTAGTGACGCAGGTGAATTGAGAAAGGAGACAGAGTCCACAGGCACAGCGGTCCAACGGGCTGTTAGTACTGAGGCTCAACACCATGACTTAAATACAAGGACAAATCAGAACTCGGAGGTGGGCTCACTGCAAGGTCATCAGGTTCTTGAGACTCCTCAGGAAATGCCTAGTGTCTTAGGTAGAGAGCATCAACTGGAAAAAGCTGCACCTGAACAGGAAGAACAAAAGGATCTTCAAAGTAGCCCTGGCCTGAGTGATAACAAAATGGATCAGGATGCCAACATTGCAAGTGAGAGCTGTGAGTTGGTTTCTAACCAGGCAGGGCTACCAGAGGTTACAGTAGTGGGATTGCTTAGTGGAGAGGTAAATGTGGAGAGTCATGCTGAGGGACTCCAGGACTCAGAAGAAAATGCTGAAAACAAGATTACAAATGCCTTGGAGGAAGAGCTTGTTGAAAGCAAAGACTGCAGTGATGGGAGAATTGAGACAACAGGAGGTGATAAAGCTGAGGAAGAAAATGAGGTTGGGAGCTCAGTTCAGGGTCAGACGAGGGAAATGGAGTCTGTGGGCTTGGAGGGGACGGACTCATGTGAAAGGGGTGTCCCAGCAGATGCAAGTGAAAAGGAAGATGGTGGAGATCAGGCAGACACCCAACCAGTTCCTTCAGAGGAGAGTCCTTTAGCATCATCAGAGGAACAAAATATGCGAGATAAAACTGAACCTGAAAGTGCTGTGGCTGAGGACAGACAGAGGGAAGCATCAGTGGAAGAGCTGGAGATGTGTTCAGATTCTCCAGAAACAGGCGAGCAAGGTAAGGCATCTGTGGAGGCTGTAGGCTGTCTTACTGAGGTAAAAGGAAGTGTGCTGCAGCAGGCAGAACCAGACACAGATGTTGTGAAAGAGGTGACGGCTCAGGAAACCAGTTTAGACCCAAGTCTTTTAGATGATAAAACTCAGGAGTCAGAATTGGAAACAGGAGATGAGTCTGGGAAAGGAAAGGAAAATGGGACAGAACGGGTAGAAGATTTAAAGCCAAAGGTAGAAGATCAAACAGTTCAGTGCAGTGAAGAAACAACGGGTGATAGAGTGGGAGAGAAAAATACTCCTTTGGAAGGTGAAGCACAGAATGTAGTTAAACAAGAGGATGGTGAATCTAAAGAGGTGTCAACTGTAGATGTTAGTGCCACTACTGAAATCAAAGCTGATAAGGAAACACTGAAAGAAAAAGAGCAAGAGTTAGATCTTGCAGACCACCGTGGTGGTGGATTTGCTTCTGAAGAAGGTGCAGTTAATTCCCTGGTGCGGAAAGCTGAGCAGGATGAAAATGTTGGTGAACAAGTTAAATTGGAGGGTCAAGCAGAGGAAAGACTGGAAGATGATGGTGATGCATTTGATTTTGATGAAGAGTCAAAACAGATACTAGAAACTGATGAAGACTGTGATGGAGAGAAAGCTGATCCACAGGAAGGAGAGGATGATGGAGCAAATGATGCTGTCGGAGAAACTGCCCAAACAGCCAAAGCCAGAGAAGGAACAGACAAAACAGAATCTGAAAATGCATTGACTGAAGATGACAGCTTGCAGCATGAAAAAGGAGATGAGCTTGAAGAAACAGGCTGCCTGCAAGGGGAAGCATCACGGAAAACTGATGAGAAGACTGATGTGATGGAAGATGAAATCAGAGCATCAGATTCTAATAAAGTGGAAAAAATACCAGATGAAAATATTTTGGAACAGGATTTGGGCAGTGCTGTCCTTAACAAGGATGAAAGCAAGGAGGATTTGCAGGGTGGTAGAAGGGGTAAGGGTAAGTCCAGAGATGACTGTACAATATCCTAATCACAAAATCTCAAGACTACACGAGTTACACGCCATTTGATCAGGCCCAGGACAGAAGCGCATGCACTTTGCACAATACATCAGACCCGAGGTATACTCTTAAAATTAAAAGTGTTGTTTGTTTTTCTTTATAGGTAACTCTCTTCATAATACAATGTTCTGTAAGTGGTAATGATGCAAGTATTAAGTTATTTGTTGGTGGGTTTGGTTTTGCTGTGTCTCAGGTTTAAAGTTTATCACCAAAAGAGCAAGCTTCACCAACTGATTATTCAGACTATCTTGCAAGTAAAGTGCTTTTAGTGTGAGTAACTGCTACTGAGGAATTTCTACATTTAATTCCTTCTTCTCTAGCCTAGATGATAGATGTCTTGAATGTATTTATGTGCATTGGATCTGTGTGAACTTTTGCATGTACTTACGTGTACTTACACGCATTTGATCTACAGTAAGTAGATCATTAGATCTACAGGAAGTAGATTCACTTTGTGAAGCAACTCAGTAGATCAGCAACACTGAGCTGATGTTGAAGCTTCTTTCTGGATTATTAAAACCTAGGAACCTTTGTTATTTGGTTTTTTTTAAACTATGGAACAAAAAAAAATACTCTTCATTCCATTTTGTGTGTATTCCTAATATGGTCATATTCCAAAATATAGTTAGATCACTGTGAATCTACTTAGTCTAAACACTTGGGAAGAAGGGTATAGTTTGAAGAAAGTGCAACATACAGGTCTTAGTTTGCTGGAAGGAATAAATATATACATGTTTACTTCATCTAGGCACTTTGCACCACAATAGGCCTTTTACACCATGTCTCACATGGGTTTTTTATTTTTTCTGAAGAAAGTGTCAATACACACTGTAACGTGTGCTTAGGTTTGCTATCAAGTACTGTCTAGCTATGAAGATATAAAATAATCTATTTTTTCCAAGATTTTTGTTTAAAATTGCATTTCGTTACTGCATACTATTTTTTTTTTTTTTGCAAACTATGATTCTGAAAATGTTTTTATCTCTAAAAAAATTCTTACCTCTTCCTTTCTGGAAAGGAGATAACTTTGTATGTCTTAATTCTTGTTGGATATCAGACCAAAGACGATGGTTGTTGTGTATCCCAGCCTCTGTGCCTCTTTGAAAAGCTGGATTGCTTTGAACTGCTGCCATCAATTAGACACTTGGACTCCATTGGCATATTTCTTCTTTGCATCTTTGCTAGTACTTGGGAAGAAGAACATGTTTTGCATAATTAAAAATCCATTTAAGGTTGTTTGAAGGAATGAACGTCCCAAGTCGAGGAGTTGGGGTGGGGGTGCCGTGGAAGGCTGCATTTGTGTTGATGTTACAAAGCTGATGGAGTATAAACAGACTGCAAAATTTCAAGATGTATATCAAAATGTACTGAGCTGTATATAATTGAAATAAACTTATTTTATACTTTAAATTGCCTGTCCAGAGCACTCTTTATAAACCTGCATAAATATTTATTTAAATTAGATAATTTCAAAAAAACATTTTTCTGCAGCTTTCTTTGTTACATTTATTGCATTGTGGTATGTAGCTGGAAGAATTATCTTACTAGGAATGTGCAGCCTTGGTGTTTGAGGACCTTTAATATGTGATGGCACCTGTAACTAAACCCGTAACAGGACTGTAAACCTGGAACTCTTTTCATATGGCTTCTCTCCAACTTACAACAGTTCCAGTATGGTTTCTGTAAGTATTAGCAGTTTTCCTTCTTAAGGGTTCACACTAAATGCTAATCTAAAAAGTCAAAGATCTAAAATAAAATAAATTAAAATCTCTACTTATTATGCAGCAGTGTTTATTTAAAGATTTCTCTCTGCTGTACTTGGAACAGTAATATATGGTTTAATGTTGAAAGTATTTTAAATGTATTTCTACTTAAATGTTAAATGCACCTAAATATCTAATTAAATGTGCTTACATGGCTTCACCTGTAATTGTGGGTGGATCTATAAACAACTCTGAGTTAAATTAGGCACATGTCAGTATTTCCTGTATTTTTTTGTAGGAGTTTGTTTCTAACAGGAATGGTTGGTTGAGGGAATTAATGGTGAGCTGTTTTTAACTCGTTTTCCACTTTAAGAAAACAGAGCATCTGTAAGAGACATCCTTTTTAAAGCCAAGTCAGAGAAGGAGAAACAACTCTAGTCTGAACTGTCCATGTGCTAGCTTTTATCCCACAGTAACTGGCCAGCTCTCAGTGAAACTAGGGTAGGAGCAAGAACACGAACAGGCAGCACAGACCAGCTGATGGGCTAGAAATCCATCCTTGGATGTTGGCTGCTTGGTACCTCTGCTGGCAGCTGGTCTCTGACTTTTGGAATTGGGCAAGGACCAGGGAGGAGAAGGTCTTGGTATTCTTTACCTCTTTGATTTTGCCTTGAGTATATGCACACTGAGGGAGAGGTCTCCCAGATAAATCATCTTGAAGATAAATGGAGCTGCTAGATGTTATATTAAAAATTTAATAATTTAGATATTATATGCCAGCTAGCGTTGAGTGAAACGTGTGCCATTCGAGAGGGAGAGGAGGCAGTGTCTCAGGAGGAATTACCTAGAAAATGCATCTTTTGTAAGATTACATGATTGAAACCAGGTTTTGGCATTTTCCTTTTGATGTCTAACAGATATAAGAAAATATCTAGCTTTTCCTTTTCTACATTGGTTTTGACTTTCAAAGACAGCAAAATCTCAAGATTGGTGTTTTCATTGGTCTGACATGAAACCAAGAAATCATGAGGTGAACTAAACCAAGATTCATATTTGCTGCTATTCTGTTAGCCATTTTGTTTTGAGCAGGGACAGTCTGCACCACTCAGAGTGTAAGATTCGTGTCTCAGAGTAGCTCCAGAGCTCCAAATGCTGCTGGGTTTTCTGTTCCATACCGAGTGCCATGTGTAGCCTGTAGCCCAGGTTTGGTGCATTACTGTGAAATCAGAGCTAACCTAAAATGCTTTCAAAAGCAGTAGATGAAGAAACTTTTTTTTTTCCTTATTCAGCAAGTAATAGTGAAAGGTCTTGGTCAATATTTCCTTTATTTTGGAAAAGAATAGTCTTTCTGTCCCCCTCAAAATCAGTATTGCAAGCTGATGGCTTCTAAATCCCATGCTTATTCACTGTCCCAACAGCCTGTATCCCTCTTCTGGGAAAGAGAGGAAGGCATTCCTCAGTATTTTTTTTTTTGTTGTTGTTTGTTTTTTTCATGATCTAAAATAAATTGACAGATCTGGAGAAGGAGTATCACCCAACCTGCTATTGATCTGACAGTTTTTGCAAACTCTTCTGAATAGCTACTCAGAGCTCCTGCTGTGATTTCACGGGATGCCTTCCCACCCCTCCAAGTACAGTTTTACCCCTTTCATTTCCATTAGCATTAATTACTTGTTGGGCCACACATCAAACAAATCATTCAGGTTAAAACCAGCTGCTTTCCACCACATGATCCCCTCCAAGTAAGAAGAGACATCAAGGATCTGTGGTTGATGAGAGGATGTTAGGTCAGTTGTGCCACTGAAGCAGCACCCAAGTTATCCATACCTGAAGTCAGCTGCATTACCAAGGTAATGAGAAGAGTCGTTTGACTTACAAACAGGCCTGTACAATAGCAGAAGACACTGGTAGCCACCACCACCCCTGTCTGTCCTGCTCTCTCCCAGGCCTTCCCAGGCCCAGCTCCTTGATTCAGCCCTTTGTTAAGCTCCTTCACATACAAAACCCATGAACTGGTGCAGGGAGTAGCCTGGGAATCGTGTTACTGAAGTTAAATTTAATTGTGAGAAGAATGTCACGCTCTAATTACTCATTTTAGTGGCTTCAGATGCGAAATAAGGACAATGACTGTTACAGGTGATAACTGTAATTAGCTGCTTCATGTCCTCATTCAGTAGATGGCTTTTTTTCTGCTCACCTGTTCTCAGGGTCCTCAGATGCTTGATTTGTTGGAAAAACGTCTCCTAAATGCAAAAATAAGATGTCTCTGCACAGATATCTATTAAAGCTAAAGTAATTTTTCCCGTGTTACTGTGGGGTTTTAAGATAAGTGAAAATTAAGAGAACTTCATCTGTACATGCAGAAAACTTTTCTAAAAAAATAGCAACTTTAGCAAACTAGGTTTTTTTCTGTGGCCTTGTAAATCCTGCTGCCAGCATGTCATCTGTCCCACTGGGGTGCACAAATGTCTGTAAGGAGGGAAGAGAGAACTGCTGGTGAGAGCAGATTTGAAGGCTTATCCCAAAATGCTAACATCCATTTTGTAGGGTAAGGGGTTGGGGGAAACTGGTGTGCTTCCTTACTGGAAACTGGAGATGTCCTCACTTCAGGCAGGCACTCCACAGCAGTGGTTGTGTTAATAAAAGTTACTTAGCTATGTGCATGACTAAGTTATTTTCAGGATCAAGGTGGATTATTTGGCCCCTTTGGAGTTGATAAGTTTGGGTTAATTTTGTAGTGGCCTAGAGATTTTCTTCTGCATCAGTCCTTGATCTCTTTCCAACCTTTCTTTTACTGTTTGCTCTCCTTGCTTTCTTTGTTGCCCTTTATTTTTCTTCCCTTTCATCTTTGATAGAATTTCTGTTTTAAGCTTCCCTTCTTTCCCATATAGATACATGAAATTGTTTTATTAATATTTTGAATGGAGGTTATAGGTGTAAATTTTAGTTACTCTTGATAATCAGCTTACAAAAGTTTGGTTTGTTGTTTTTGGTTTTGTTTTATTTTGGTTTCCCATGTCAATGCTCAGGTATAACAATGTTGTGTTTTACAAATGGCTAAAAAAAAATAAAAAAATAAAAAGGATAAGACTGGAGGAGGTTCAAAGTGAATGCATAGAACTGCTGAACGGGGATGTCGCTTGAAGATCTGTATGTGGGTATTGCATCAGAAACCAAGGTAAAGGTTTTATTCCATGCTCTAGGATGACACCTGGTATATGGGAACTTGTGTACCCAGGAGGGGAATGACTCCTTGCATTATTACT